GATTTTCTTTTTTAGTTGTTGTTGCCTGTAGTGGCGATGACGACGATGATAGTAATGATGATAATGATGGTTACGATGACAATAATGATGAAACTTTTGTTGTTATCGTTGTTGGTATTCGTCAGGTATATGAGGGAATAAATACTGGTCATCCAAGAAAATACAAGGAATTTTTGCATTGGATTTTAGTTGACAGTCCACAAAAATAAATTTTAACTGAAGTCCAAAAAGTAAAAAAAAAAAAAAAGAAGAAAAAAACAGGTCTTAGTTCTTTACTCCTCTTCCTGTTCTCCAATATTGTTAGTTTAATAATCAAACAAATAATATAAAAATAAAAAAAACAGAATTAATTAAAAGTTCGATAAACCTACAATAATTTTGACTTTTAACCTTTCTATTTTTTCATGGCAAATGAATTGTTCTTTTTTTTTTTTTTTTACATATATTATTCGGTGGCATTGGACAGTTGGTGAGCCGGTTAGAAAGTAACATTCCGGGTAAAAAGTTAAGAAAAGAGAGGATAATAAAAAAAACATCGCTTTTAACGACGTACGTATATTAAATGTCAATTTTATTACTCTTTTTTTTTTTTGTTATTGTTGTTGTTTTTATTCAACAAAACAAATTGCTTCGGTCGATGATAATAATAAATCTGTTAGTTGGTCGGTATGCATTAATTGATACATCCCACAAAGGCAATGAATGCCATCGGCTTTTTTTCTTTGGTTCATACCAACAATACTAAGCAAAGAGACGAGCAGTCAGTAGTGATTGAAGTTCTGCTCCACATCAAAGCAGATTGACCTGTATTAAAAAAAAAACTAAACTTCAAAGATGACAATTTATTTTTTGCAGAAATACAAAAAAAATGATTTTGTTTCCCTCATAAGATCACTTGAACAAAACAAGAAAAATCCAAATTAATCGTAATTGTTATATCCTTATCCTAACTGTAAAAATGCCATTACTATATTCAAAGATTACCAATCATCACTAATTTTCATTAAATTTTCAACCCGATTTAAGTGCTCAACACCTGTAAAACGCTAATAATCTTAAGGTATTTTATCCAGACCAAAAAAGAAAAAAGATTTGATGCATTAACCAGATCTACATGTGTCGCCGATAAAACTAAACATCTGATCAAACTTTTTTTTTTTGTTTTTTGTTGTTGTTGGCATACAAGAATAGAATGTTGACCACTCAGTTAACCAAAAAAAAGTGTGCCATTTGGTTGACTGGTGGCAGTTTTTGTTTTGAACTTGAATATTGACTGATCCGTTGATCAACGACAAATTTCCACCATATGATGACAATGCATCGATAACGCTCAAAACAGACAGATACCGTTATGTAGACCCTTAAACTGACACTTACTTACTACTCATTCGCTCGTATCTGACGAAACTGCATTGAATTACTCGCCCAGCAAGAGAAACTAGAACTGTGATCAAAAAGTTCTGTGGCAATTGTATCAGTTGCGATAAATAAAACCCAAATTGTTTTTGCCTAAACATTTCAGTGATGATTTCACCATTTCACCCAGTTCATATACTGTACAGACCAGTTACCGGTAACAGCAATTAATTTTTATAGTTTTGTCAGTTTTATAAGGAAAAATTTAGGCTTGAAGAAACCATTCAGAATTTACATTTATCGAACAAAACTCTGATCCGGTTCAAATAAGCTGATAAGTTAGATTTGGGTTATTAAAGTTGCAAAAGAAAAATGTGTCAGCAATAAAAGAGAAGATCATTAAAATGTTAAACGGATTTAAACAAAGAAAAAATTTTTTTTCATAGCACACCATTCCAAATGCCCGCCCCCGCCTCAGATAAAGTTGCAAATATTCTTCATTCTCGCTGCAATTTGCTTTTCACTTTTTTCTTCCTCTTCAGCCATTCTAACAACCTTTGAAATGTTCAGAAGTGTTCAAAAAAATGCCTAAAAAATTCAGCTTTTTTTTATCATATTCCAATTGAAAAATCATCATTCCGTTAACCTCTATTAAAAAAAAAAGTAAAGCATGAAGAAACAAAGTGGTAATTATGACAATTATTATATAAGATTCTATTACCTCATATAACAAGTTGTCGTTTTTTTGACAATAAAAGAGGAATTTTGAGCATTACCAGAAGTTTATTGCTACTTTTTTCCAGTTTTTTTAAAAATCATTTTAAAAAAACCGAAAATAGCAGGAAAATCTATTTTTAATGTAGTTTTTCTTTCATGCCGCACAAAAGCATCCATTATTGCAGTTATTATTAAAAACCAAACAAAACCAAGGAATCAACTGATTACAACACCGCTAAATCCAAGCTTTGATTGTGTACAATTTATATATAGTCAAAGACGGAATAAAGACGGAACAAGAGAGAAACTGGAGGAAGTGATGACCAGTCTGTGACATAAGGATAAAAGGTAGCTAACTAACCTTAGCAAGACGTGTACCACATAACGTTGTTCCAGGTATCCGTTTCACTGTTGACAACATGATTGTGCCGGACATTCCAAAAATGATGCCCATTAGGCAGATGAACGCCTGCCGGGATACCCGCAATCGGCCTTTCCTCCAGATCATCACAACTAAACAAACATCGGATAATTTTGTTTTAATTGCAAACCGTTACGATAATTGAACAACGTAACTGAACAACACTTCCAAGCCATTTATCAAATCGTTTTGACATTAATCTTATAGCAACACGCATCAAAAAAAACTACTTAGACGAATTATAGTAAAAAAAAAGAGAAAGTTTTAAAAAAGTACCTTCAGATAGTAATTAATATTAAAATTACTGTTGTTTTGTGACAGCAACATATAATACTGATAACCAATAAAAAGTTGAGAAAAAAGAGTAAAAATAAAGCAAAAAAAAAAAAAAA